GTGGCCCAGCCATTTTGGTGACTGCAGACAGGCCTTTCGCAGCCAGGAGGGGGATTTCTAGGATTTAGCTGAAAACACTTGCAGGCTGAGATATTCTGGGTTAAAGCTAAGAGCTTAGCTCTCCGTCGGGCCCTGGCATGTCGTGGCAGCGATAGCCACTGAAGGGCCAGGTCTGGCAGTGCATGGGGGGCTTAACCGTGCTCTGTACTCCCTCCGCAGCTCACCCCCCGGTGCCGGCCCCGGAGCGGCCCACTGCCACGGTCTCGCCCCTGCGAACGCCCAGCTCGCCCTCCCGCCTGCCAGCAGCAGCCATCCGGCCTCACCCCGCCATCTCCCCGCAGCACAGCCACCAGCCGCCCGTCCCAGGGGCCCGGCCCCTCATCCCCCTCACCTCCGCCGCCGCCGCCATCACCCCACCCAACGTCAGCGCCGCCCACCTCAACGGCGAGGTGGGCGGTGGGCCCCTGGGTGGCCCTGTCACCCCTGGCCCCGCCGGCAAGGCCGAGGAGAGGAAGAATGAGAAGGTAAGGGCTGCCGCGCCCCCACCGTGCCCCGCGCTCTCGCTGCCTCTCCCTCCCATGGGGTTGTCGAGGAGGGACCCTGCGGCCACCCGGGAGGACGGAAGCTGATTTTCATCGCCTGCCAGCTTGGGCATCCTCGTCTCACATTGTTTTCACGCTTCATCCATCTCCAACGCTGCTCTCACATTACGCACTCGCAGCTGGGAAACTAATGGGCTGAATTTGTGTGTTTCTTCCAACGATTGGCGCCTGGATCTGCAAATTTGCAGTGGTGTAGAAAGATCTTATAGCAGGCTCTTGGTCATCGAAACCAGATGGCTAAGTCAGAAGCCGTCTGCCTCGCTACATGGAAGAAGCTGATGGTAGTACCAGCCCCAGGGCAGGTGCCACAGGCACAGTAAAACACTGGCTCGTGAGTGGCAGGAGCTGTTTTACTGCTCCAGAAACCTCTCAGTTTCTTGCAGAAACTTTCATTGCAGTGGCACAGCCAAATGGGGAGAAGGGAATTAAATACGGCTGATTGGGACATAGGTACGATGCACTGTAGGTTCAATCTCTTAGGAGCCAGCAGTGGGACCCATAGCTGAGTGCCCATCCCTTGTGCACCTTGCTAAGGAAAGCCAGCGTGGAGAGCTGCTTTAAGCTCCCAGCCTTCTAGGTTCTTGGCAAATATTTTGCTTTCACCAAATGTTAACATTGTGTTAGCACTTCCCATTTATCAATGCTCAGGATTATCTCCGTACTGCTTAGCAGAACCCACTGATACAAACTGCCTGCTGGAAGCCAGATCCTGGTTTGTATCTGAGCAGGAGGAAGAGATGTGGGGGTCTGCTTTTCCTTTGGACCTGCAAAAAATCCTTTGCATATATTTCCTGAGCTTTTCCATGATGACAGGCGCATACGGGGTAAACATTACTTTGTACATGGTAATGCTGAGGTTGCAGGTCTCACGTGTGGTCAGGGTCACAGATAACCCCTAGTTTCACAAGATGAGGAATACAAGTTTAAAAAAAAGTCCTTTCCTTAATCCTGTCTTGAATTTTCTCTGAGTGCCTTTCGGTGAAAGAAGAAGGGTGTAGAACTTCTGCCCTGGATGTGAAATTTAGGTACTTGTTTACAAAGAATGCCTTCCACATGTGTGTCAAGGACTGCATGCTGTGCGAGCAGAACAATACCTGCTACTTCTGCAAGCCCAAGGAATTGTATGGTATTTGGCAGAAGGTGGTAGATCTGCACGTTACCTCAGAGCTTTGTGTACTGGCTTATTTAATACTTCCTAAAACATATCATGCTATTCTATAGGTCCATATATTTTAATTCATGTGGGACTGCACACTGAAATTTCCTAGGCAAAATTATATCAAGTCCCTTCCTAAGGTACTGGCTAACCTTTCCCAAGCTGTTACAGCTTTAAGTTACTGAATTTGGATGCAGGGAAGTAAAGTTACGGGTTTTTGGAGCTCCATGGATGAAGGGGAGAAGCAAATAATATACTACATCATTGCAATGAGCATTGCCAAAGACCAGTTCAGTACCTGGGAAGTATCAGAGAGAAGTGACAATAAAAAAATTCATCTCTGACTGGGTTGGGTGGTGCATAACTGCCCTGTGTTGAACAATATATTCCTGAATCTCCTCCATGTCATATTTCACTTTCATTTTAGAAAGATCTGAGTTAACGATGCTTCCTTTCCTTTTAGAAGTAGTGACTGATGTTTTGCCAGTTAAGTTGTGTTCCTATTCTTTGCATAAACCCAAATATTTCTTTGAAGCAGATGAGAGCTTGGATAATGCCAGACTGAAAGCCATATAACTATTCAAAAAGGAATCTGTGAGTCAGAACTGGAGCCATATCTGGAACCACACTTGCTATTTCCAAAGTGGAGGCTGGTTGGGCAGGTTTATTTGTAAATACAGAACAGTCATAACACCCAGAAGGAATATCTGTGGAGAGAGGCAATATCTGTTATCAGTATACCTGATAGGAAAAAACAGACAAGTCTGAGGGGCAAAAAACAGAAGCAGGGACATAACTAGCAAACTGCCAGATAAGCAAAGATCGGAAGCAATTTATCTGAGTTCAGTTTCATTATATTAATCACTCACATACTTTGAGATGAAAGGAACAGAGGGATGTTAGTAAGAGGAGCGGTAATAAGGTCTTCAGCTCTCCTGAACACAGGATGGAAGAAACGCACAGGTAATTATCTCCTGAGAAACTGAGATTAGCAAGTCGTATCTGAGGTAAATTGTAATGTGCCATAAAATTAGCATTGTTGTTGGAATCAACAATTTTTGGTGTCCCATCAAATTATTAATTTTAATCCCAGCTTAGTCTTTCTAGTTTCTTTTGTAGGATTCCCTTGAGGATGAGGGCTGAATGATCAGAGGGAGAATGGCTGTTTTGGGAAACATCCTCTTGTTATTAACCATGTTTTTCTTTCACACACTGATTGTCAGCATAAGTTCACTACGGTACAGAGGGCACATGGTATGGAGAAAGTAGTAGTTTGCATTTGGGGACAGACATGCTGAGGATCCATTGGTTTTCACGGTTCTGTTGTAGAAGATGTTTCTTTTGAGGGCTATGGAGATAAATTGCAATTTTTGCATTTATCACTGATACAGTCAGATATATTGGTCCTTGGGAAATTCTCTTCAGATGATAAGTTTAGCAAAGTTGGTTGGCTGCTTGAAGGCTGGGCTGGGGGATAGTGGGGAAAAGTATTTTAAACTATGATCTTCTACCAATTTATGTTTTATGATTTCCCACCTAGATTCCACTCAAGGATACCAAATGTGACATCAAGGGGCAGCTGCTGTAGTGAGTCTGTATATGCTATTTGGGTTGCTTGTTCCAAGACAGAATTGTCTTTACCTTGGGAACAGCCTTGCTGAGTGTACTGGTGAGGTCATCACTGTCAATGCTTTCCTCTGTGCAAATGTTTATAGGCCTATATCACAGGTTCCTGTTGGTGTGCAGCAGTCAGATATCTTGGCACATCCCAAGATGTCTCTAAAATCAAGGGACTCTGATTCCAATTTTTACTTGTTTCCTTGTGGTTTAAAGGCAAGTGGCAGAAATAATCCTAAGGATTATGGTTTTCAGCTCAGCAGGAATGGTTTTCTTGCTCATCTTCTATTAATATAGCAAATAAATCCTTAAGTCTATTTTTTGACATCTCTAGTTCTCTACTTCAGCTTACTTCTTGAAGGTCTTGATCCAGACTTCCAAACCTGCAGGTGAACCTTGGCACCTATGTTAATTTGGGCACCCTAATAATAGTGTCTTACTGTCATACTCCTGCTGACTTAATCAGGAGGTAAAATATGACCTTCACGCCAGTCTTCACTTGACAGTATGCAGATACCCCTGGATAGGATCCGATCCTATCCTATCTGGGCTTGTGCTCTGCTTCTCAGCTCCTTGACTAGCCTCTTGTCCACTTAGGGAACAGTTTCAAAGCTGCTCTCCTTTGCCAGCTGCTGGTGGTAGCCAGTGAAAGACTGAGCAATAGATAGTGCTTAAGTCCACTGTGCAACAGTGCTCGAGAAGTGCTCAGGCAGCCGAGCAGGCTTAGAAGTAGAGCACTTGAAAATCAAAGTTGTTTCAGTGCTATATGGACGCGGTACAAAGCAGCAGGAAAGGCGGCTCACACAGAGGTAGCACAGACACTACAGGAATAACAAGTTGGGGACTGAATAAAGGCAGAAATCAAAGAGGTAACGGTGATCAGGGCAGCATAGGAGAGAGAAGAGCATTAGCAGCTGCTGGGAGATATAGCAGGGGGCACTGGAGAAGGGGTGCCAGTGGGGAGGGTGGAGGTGAAGGGTGCTGTGTAAAGCCCATGGGGAGGGGTCCTGAAACAGGAAAGTTGGAATATAGGGGCTGAAATTTATCTAAAGAAGGCAGTTGAAGAAAGGAAGGTGTAAAGGAGACTCCTTCTTCTTTTTCTCAAATATTTCCAGCTTGAGGCCAATTTTTCTTCTTTTCCAAGAAGGAGTTTTCCTTCTCCAGAAGGAAAATAATAATTCTCCCCCAAAGTCACTCTATTCCAGGTTAGGAACAGGAGCGTCCCAAAGACATCACAGGGACAGGAGGGAGGTAAAACAGAGAGCAAACGGGGAACACTCCGTTTCCTTTAAGGGTGGGGGGTGGTATCGGGTGTCCTTTGAGCTCTCACTTCATCATTTGCTGGTAATATCTGCATGTGTAACCATCTGAAACTCAGAGAATTCAATCCCAGTTCCCGAATCTTCTGAACATCTGAAAGAAAGGGATGGAGATCCCAGCTGTGGAATGGAAGCAAAACCCTGTGTTTTGGGGGCTTTTTTAAATGGGGACCCTGCTTTTTCAGTCATGATGAGCACTGCCCAAGTTCAACTGGTAGATTACAGCTGAGAGCTTGCAATTATGGCATGACTACCGCTTGACCTCAGTCAATTTTTGCTATAATAGTTTCTGCAGTACATAATCTGGGCTGATGCTTAATACCTCTGATAAAACCACTTGTTTGAATGAATTAATGCATTTCTCATTAAATGCGCTCCTCATTACGTTAATCAAATCAAGCAAATCATGCTGGGTGGTTTGACCACTGTAATTAAACTTTCTTTAAATCCACTCATTTGGCTTTTGATGAGGATTTTGATTAAACTCTTCCAAAATGTCTGGCCCAATATGTGCTAAAGAGGAAAATAAGAGCTTGCACTAGCGAGCAAGCCATTAATTCATCACTGAGTTACACCAATTCCTTACTGTTTTACCTAGCCAGAGTATATAGAAATATTTGAAAATTGGCAATGTAAAATTAAATGTTTCTTACAAGTGTGCTGAGAGAACACATCTGTTTGCAGCTTTAAATTTGGTAATTGTGTCCCTGGAATATATAGAAGATCTGGATAAGCAAGTTACAACAAATGGGAAAATACACTGTTTACTGATGTTAAGATAACAAGAGACACATCTTCAGAAAATTACTTTGAACATGCACCAACAGTTT